TAAATCGGCTGTGGATGACATGCTTGAGGCCGATATAATGTATCCCTCCACTAGTCCCTGAGGTGCTCCAATAGTGCTGGTCAAAAAGCACGATGGCAGTCTCCATTTTTGCGTTGATTTTTGGCGCCTAAATAAAATCTCGGTAGCGGACGCCTACCCTCTCCCTCGTATGGACGAGTCATTGGATGCCCTGGCAGGAGCGCACTATTTCTCCACCTTGGACCTACTGTCGGGGTTTTGGCAACTCCCCCTCGACGAAGCGTCAAAACCTAAGACTGCTTTCGGACACCACAGGGCCTTTTCGAGTTTAATAGATTGCCCATGGGTCTTCACTCGGCCCCAGCGATGTTCCAGAGGCTCATGGAGTTGGTCCTCGCTGGGCTCCAGTGGGAATCATGGCTCATTTATCTTGACGATGTCATCGTCTTTAGCCGCACGTTCGGCGAACACATCGAATGGTTGTGTGCTGTTTTCTTGAAAATGCGGGCTGCTAACTTAAAATTCAAGCCGTAGAAGTGTCACCTTCTGCTTGAGTCTGTGCGCTATCTGGGCCACATAGTTTGCCGCTCGGGCATCTCTACTGACCCTGAAAAAAACAAATGTGTTCAACAATGGCCGACCCCAAAATCTGCGGGCGATGTTTGTAGTTTTATTGGTTTTGCGTCGTACTACTGCCGGTTTGTTGCTGGCTTTGCGATGATTGCCAAGCCGCTCCACGCCCTTACATCAAAAGGGGTGGCGTTTCATTGGGGGGATGCAGAACAGGCCGCGTTCGACTCCTTGCGGAACGCGCTCGTGACGGCACCGTTCCTTGCGAACCCCGATTGTTCCGTGCCATTCGTGTTGGTCACCGATGCTAGCAATACGGGGATTGGGGGTGTTCTATCCCAAAAAGTTGATGGCATTGAAAGGGTTGTTGCCTATGGTAGCAGAGTCTTGTCTCCTGCTGAACAAAGATACTGTGTGACCCGACGTGAGCTGCTGGCCATTGTTTTTTTTTTATTCAGCAATACAGGCCGTACCTGTATGGTCAGCATTTTACCGTGCGATCTGATCATTCAGCTTTACAGTACGCTCTGCGGGTTGACCAACCGTCCGGGCAGCTTTCTTGGTGGCTCGAAGTCCTTCAGGACTACGATTTCAATGTCACTTACCGTAGGGGTGCACAACACACGAATGCCGATGCATTGTCTCGCCTCCCACCGGTTTAAAAATGTGCGTGTTTTTTGGGCTCGGGCCGTTGTAAGCCGCCACTGCCTGCGCAAGTCACGCCTCTCACAACGGTGTCAGCCGCACATCCTGCCACCTCAGCGCCGATGTTGGATCATGCAGATCCAATGGCCAGTGACGATTTGCTGGGGCTAACTTTGGCCGAATGGGGTCGGCACAAGAGCGATGACATGTCGTTACTGCGGTTGCGTCACCACGCGAATAATGCGGCTCCAAGACAGGGCAAATTTAATTCATTCGTCATGAAGCACGGCTTGTTGATGCATTGGGATGCTGACTCGTGTCAACATAAAATCGTCGTGCCGTCTGCCTTGCGATGCAAAGCCATATGGGCAGCGCATGAGCGTTTATTACACCTGGGTGTTCATGAGATCATTGGGTTGTTGCGGTTGCAATTTTTTCTGGCTGGGCATGCTGCGCAACGTCACTGACATTTTGCTGGGATGCACCCATTGCGCACAACATAAACTGCCGGCTAAACCGGCATGTCCACCCCTGCTACCCATTTCGGTCTCTCGTATAAATGAGTTGGTGGCTCTCGATATTTTTGGCCCTTTTCCTACTATGCCACGGGGTAATAAGTACCTTCTGGTTGGGGTAGAGTATTTTATGCGGTGGCCTATGGCCTGGGCCCTCCCCAACCAGTCGGCGGCAGCCGTTGTGGATGCCTTTGTTCAGGGCTACGTCCTGGACAAGGGCGCACCAGAACGGTTGCTGAACGATCAGGAAAGAAACTTTTCTGGAGCCTTGCTGAATGATGTGTGCCGCCTGTTGGGCACTAAGAAAGTGCGCACTTCGCCCTACCATCCCCAGACCGACGGCATGATGGAGCGCCTTCATAGAACTCTCACCACTATGTCATGCCATCAGGTCGATGAATCCCACCTCGATTGGGACTTGCAGGTTCCGGGGGTCCTCGCCGCATACCGTATGGCACCTCACGCGGCGACGGGATTTTCCCCGTTCTTTCTAATGTACGGCAGGGATGCCTTTCCTCCCGCCGATGTTCGGCTGGAAATCGAACAGCCACCGCAAAAGTCAAAGCTCGTTGATCACTTGCGATTCAACCTCCGTAAGTTGGCCGAGGCATGGGAGGCTGCCATTTTAAATTCGGCTTCCCACCAACGGGCGAATTTGCGACTGCGTGACCCTCGGACGTACACGCATTGGTGGGCACCGGGAGACAGGGCATGGCTCCACTGCCCCCAGGTGCCGGTGTCCACGTCGGCCAAACTCCTCAGACCATGGCGAGGCCCGGTTGAGGTAGTGGAAGTCCTGCATCCCCAATGTGTTAAAAGGCGCTGGGGACGGCGTCGCTGGTGCGTTCACCCTTCTCGGTTGAAACCCTTCGTCACGCCACGCGTCCCTCCACAACACACACGACACGGGGTCCGAGTGTGCGACGCGTCCGACGAGCCAGATGTCGCCCCGTTGGTGCCTAACCCACAGCGCAGGCGTGTCATTCCTCCTGCAGATGACGCGGGAGTGACGGCTCCATGCAGGCCACGTTCGGCCTCAATAGACCGTGGAGCATCAGGTGTCCCCGTGGAGATGCCTAAAGGCCCACCGGATGCTCTTGCTCATCCTCCTCCTTCCCTTGTGCCACCGACAAAGCCTGCCATCCCCTACGATGGTCCCGCGAACCACACGCACGCGAAATCTCGCCGGTTGTTATGATGTTCTTTGGCATGTCTAGTGCCTTGTACATACGTTATGTTGTTAAGGGGGGTATTTATAGGGGTTTTATTGTTCTTGTTGTTCGTGAGGCACACTCACAATTCTTCTACCGTTGGTAATTTCGGAGTTTCCCATTATTGCAGCCAGAACGTCTGGAGCTTCCGAAGGATGGGGTGATGTAGAAGTGTTAACTAGGCGCTGTTGCGTAACCTACATTGCCACCAGGGCAGTGCAGCGTTACCCCTGGGTACAACAGTTGGGGTCAGTCGAGGTGAAACGGATCGTAGCCAGGGTTTGGTACGAACCAATCAAACGGTTCCACGTGGGAATGTATGATTGGTTCTGCCTGGCCACGAAGGGGTATAAGACGGGTGACGCAACGGACCTCGGGGGGGTTCTCTCCCTACACGAAGACAGAAGACTGGGCTGGAGCCTAGCTAGGACCCTGGACCAGCCTTCCAGCCCTTCTGAGGGCTAAGGCTCGGCATACCCAGTGATCAGAACCCACCGGGCCAGCGGTGGGTCAGATAGCCTCCCCTCGGTCCTAGCCGGAGGACTAGGATAGTGGTAGACGTGTGAGTCCCGCCAAGTCCGGAGGCTGTACCTCCTTATGTATCAAGGAGGTTAGCGGTAGACGTGTGAGTCCCGCCAAGTCCGGAGGCTGTACCTCCCTAGGGTATTGGGTGAGGGGACCGTATATTCCTCTGTGTGTGTTAAGCACACACATAGGAATATACTACATGTATATACATACCCTGTGCCTATCCTTGCTATATACATATATTAATGCAAGAAGATATCCTGGTAATTTTTTTGTAATACTTAAAAACATGATCAACATTTTTTTTCATAGGCCCTTAAGTTTCCGTAGGCCCTAGGCACAGTAAGTACTGTACCTTTTCGATAATACGGCCCTGGGTTAGCTGCAGAGTTGGCAGCACCGGAATCCAAGCATGAGACCTCTCTGTTTGACAAATTCGATTCAATTGCTTTTGTCGAATTTCCACCTACAAAAACCTGGAAGTAAATTGTACCTCATCCTGTACTTGTATATTCCTAGTAAATTTGATATAAATGTATTAAGATAAAGATTTATTCAGTATTATTATAACCACTCAGTAATGCTTTGTTATTTGTATTGCCTTTGTACTGTTTATCATTTGGTGTTGTTCTCTGGACTAACACTGCTGAGACAAGACCATAAAAAAGGCTGTCTCTGGCGTAGGCCAATCAGTTTCAAGGACAATGCATACATTATAAAATATGTTTGCATGTTTTAACGCAGGCATTTGTAGTTACTGCAGACGCGATGCCTTGCAATATGTGTCTATGTGGTGTTTGAACATCTTAACACCTCCTGTATGATTGCTGGCAAAGGGAAAGCCTATTCTTTTTCAACATATCATGACGTGTCCATCCTCACTCCACACTACATGGCCATGGCATCACAGTCTCGCTTTCCCCACATTATGGATACTAGTTGGTACCTCCTGCTGTTTTCTAATGCCCTCACTTCTCTTCCGATCATTTGTATGTTTACTGCCTTATCTAAAATGTTTATCTTACAAATTTGTATTTTCCTTGAAGGAGCAATATACAGCAGGCAGACTGCAGGGATCAATGAGAGTATCATGGGCGATGGATCAAAAAATTCATGACAAATTTGAATTTGTCTGAAATAATCAGACTGTATCAAGCAACCCTAAGATGCTTTGGAGAGGAGGTGGTCAGGTGTCTCAGAGGTTTGAGCTGGCACTGCTAAGGTCCTGGATTCGAAATCAGGTCAGCACTCTGACCTCTGAGCAACGTGGCCATCTCTCTCTGTCGAGAATCGAGATTCCAGGTTGATCACGTGCGATTGAAATGCTAATTAAAAAACAAGTTCTCACTTCTGCTACGAGTTATCCGCACACCTACAAGCTTACGTTTTTTAAACTGTGACAGAAGGGTTTGTCTTCATGCAGTGATTCATAACCGGATTAAGACCACCAACTCATCACACTTGAGTGTGCAGTTTAATCACAGGCGACTGCCAGGATTTGAACTGAGGTTTTCAGTAATGCTGGCTCAAACGGTTGTGGATGTGATAATGGTGATACTGAATACAAACATAATCCAATGTATTTTTGAAGATATTTTATTTTGCATATCCATCCCAAAGCATTGCATAACATGCAAATGACTATTTGCATGCAATTTACAATGATTAAAAGAGCATGCAATTGTAATCAAAATACAAAAATCCAGATGGTGGTGGTGATGATACTGAATTTGTGGATGTCAACTTTGGAGAAACTGTTGCTAATTCAAGGCCAGTTGTCATAATTTGTATTTTACAAGCAGTGCGAAATGGAAAACAAATATGAGCGTTTCTGAAAATAGCTGTCCCAACACAAATGATGATTGGTTGATTGTATGGGGCATCTTTATCTTTCTGTCACTGTTTAGTTTGATATCATTCAAACGTGGATGTCGTCTCTCTACAATTTTGGAAGACATTGGTTAAGTTAATCGATTTTTCTGTACGTGCCAGCATGCAGAATCTGTAATGTCAAGATATATTTGTATTGTTCTGCCGTGAATAATTTGCTCTGTGTAGGTTTTTACTCTCCACCTTCTCATTTCTGCTGCCCATAAAGGTTCCATCTCTTTTCCTCCTTACAGTTCTTTATATCGTCCATCGAGCCTCTTTGGTTTTTTCGGTCACGAGAGCTTCAAATCAAGTTTGTTCATCCAGCTTGTACTTTTATGCCTCAAACCCCTCCAGATTTGTACTCTGCCGATCAGCATTGCCTATGCCAGTTTGTGTTGTCTTGTTACATTGCCCAGACTACTGCTGGAAGGTTACGTTCATTTGCTCTTGCTAGTTGGAGCTCATTTCCACCTAAGCAAATGGCAAATGTGATTTTTAGCTTTGAATCGATAGTTAGATTGTAATATCCAATATAATGAAGATACGCTCTGCAGTGTTGGTTTGATCTGGAACTGTTTTTGTAGTCGTTTTGTTGCCTTGCCCAAGTTTGCACTTAGTGTTGAAAAATCGTCAGGAATTTACTTATGCTATTTGTACGTATATACTTTATATTGTTACTTACTTATTTACGTTTTAGCTACTTGCTTACCATTGCTCTACTTTGTACTCATATCGTGTTTTGTATTGTTTGTTGTTGTAACTTGCTGATTCGCCCCTACTGAACATCTGTAAAAAAGCGATTCATAGATAATCGGATTCCTCCAGGATAGATAAACATTATGATTATGATAATTTCATTGTGATTTCTGAGCGAACAGACTCGCTTATGTATGGAATGTGCGAGAAGAAGTCGTTGAAATAACTGCATCTTTGTGTTAATTATTTTGCACCGATTCAAAGGTTCTTTAATCGCAAGAACTGTACTCTCTCAAATGGCGTATGTATTGCATCATATTTTATACCGCAGGTTTCAATTAATAATTTTTAAAAGACAGGCAGCGTTGCATGCAGCATGCAGCTGGTAAAGCGCAGCACGTGCGTGCTTTTGCAATGCCGCGTCACTTTTCCTTTGTTTCTGCAGTCGCTTTGGTGTAGGCGAGGCCCTTGTAGACACCCTCCATTGGGATGTCGAAGGTGGCGCCGTTCAATAAGGACATGCGCACCGTTCCCTTGTACGGGAGATCGATATCTGCACGACCGATGGTTATGTCGATCACCGTGGTTTTGCCTGGAGGAACCGTGACGTCGAATGAGAGGAGCTCGGTTTTCGATTCTGAATTCTCCACACCGCGCGTACTCTCGGTGCCAACGGTGAAACTAAAGCCACTTTCAACCTCTACGACATCTGGAATGCCAGCTTTGACGCTGATGCTCACGGTTGCCTCCAGCTTGTTTGAGATCGACCAGGAGGAGGTTTTGGTCAAGGTCTTAGAGGATTCAATTTTATAGGTTTGGGGGACAGAACCCTTATTCTTGTAACTGATTGATTTGATCTCTTCCATCTGGACTTTTGGAAGCTCCTTGTGCAGTGTAGGGTATGTCACGTTGATCAATTCTGAACGTTTCACCGAATTGATGAACACGAAGCCCATGCAGTCGATGTCTGAACTGGCTTTTCCCTGAATTCCAAGGCAGATCCCAGAGCCGATGTCGACTGGATACTCGGTCTTTAGACCCCAGTCTGTCATCTTCACGAAGAAATCCCTGCCTTTGGTTGTCCTGAACTTGAAGGCGCCCATGCGTGTGCCAGCCCCATTCCCCCATAGCGAGAGGGACGAAAAGAGCTCCCCAGGCTGGAACACAAACTCTTTCTGAGATCCCGATGGATTGCCGTACTGTGCAGACCTTCCATCCGTCAGCCAGGCCTTCACGCACTTGATCTGCCACCCTCCAACCCACACCCACATTTTTTCCAGCGTTGCTCCATTGTTCCTCCCATCAAAGTTGAAGTCTGTTCCTCCTTGTCCTCCACAGGTGTGTATGGCCAATGGATAAGGCATTTTCTCCTTTCTTCCTGCACATTACAAGATACAGATTTGGTTAAATTATGAAAGGAATTTCAAACATTGTGATAGTCACAGTTTTGACTTTCAATACCACATTTTATTGACACATTTGTAATAGTTATGCACTCAAAAATGTGCATGTCGACTCAGAAGTTATCGACAATTCAATAACAACTTCACTATTGTGAACAATCCGTGAAAAAGCAGTATAACATCATCATATTGGGCAATTGTAAAAAAAAAACACTTATTGTATCAGATTATTAACTAGCAATAGCTAAATTATAAAGACAAAGAAAGAACAGCAGACAATGACAAGGTTTGATACTTGACAGGTATGACTGAGGTTAAGAGAGCCTTGTCTGCAAAAGAAATACAGCTCCTCTGAAATAAACTTTGATACAACACAGTACAGCAAACGCTTTCCTCGCGGTTGTGCTGTTTTGGGTCAATTTTATTCATCGAATGTCCCCCTGTGGCTCGACCATTCGCAGGCCACGTGGTGTTCCCAGCCTCCAGTGAGGAGGCAGTGAGGTTCAGCCGCTCACTATTTTTATTTCCTGTGGTGTACAGTACTGTACACAGATACGTATACAGTATTGTACACTGCATATTGTTTTCAATCTGTTTACTTTAACACGTAAGCTGTCACGACGAATATCATTCTTAAAACAGGTTTTTTTTTAGTTAGGTCGCGTAAATATATAAGTGCGTCGTCAAACCCGCCACCACCCGACACAGCCAATTAGTAAGGTTTGTCACATAAACAAACATGCTATTGGTTACTAGTACAGCACACCGGTGTGTTAGAGAGCAAGGCCAACACACCGTGTGCTGTACTAGTAACGAAGTGGCATGTGCTGTTTACGTCAAACACCTTACTAATTGGCCCTGTCGGGTGGTGGCGGGTTTAAGACAATTGTATATATTTACGCGATCTAACCACAAAAACCTGTATTATGAATATATATACTCTATGAGTTATATTTCAAACTAGGACATATTAATCGTATGTTACATTCAAAATATTTCACGTTTAATGTTTAGGTTGATGTAGGGTGTACATAAAACATAATGAGGAAGAGTCGTATTACAAACCGTGAACCTATCCCTAGTTTTCCTATTTGGCTTTGAGTTTATGAATCTCGGTTTTACCCATTCCGGCTCTTTTAGATGACGTGATCTCGTCACTGAACCTATCACTCCACCTAAAACAGGTTCCTTCATTTCTTGAGGTAAGCTCACTTCAAATTAAAACCTAAAAAATGCTTCCAACAGAACAAGTGCAGTACAGCACGCATCAGTATAATACAGCAAACCCTGTCTATCCGTGAGTGTTAGAATATTGATAACGTTCACGAATGCAGAAACCTTCCATTGTAAAAAGGGGTTATGTTCCTGGTATTAGTGAACATAGGTGGAAGATGGTAAATGTTTGATAACAATGACTGCAAATATTCTCCATATATATAAAAGGCAGAGTTGTCAATATGTGTGCCTGTTAAAAAGTGTTTAGCGTACTTCCCGACATGCAACAAACTGGAAATTTGCCATGTGGGTACTTTCCAGACTGTACACCATGCAAAAATTATAAAAATACACTTTTTTTGGGGGGGGGGGGGGGGGAGGAGCTCAATAATGCATGCACGTTTTTGCACGGCAAGTGAGCTATGATGTCAAATCTGTCACGTGACCCGCGCATGTGGAAGCGTAACGCATTGTAGTGTCGTGGTTAGCGCGCTGCGCTAAGAAGCCGGCTACCCGAGTTTGATTCCCGCTCACGGCCACCACCGGTGACGATAACTTAACCGGTCCTGGGTCTCCCCTAGGTCGACTGAGCCTCAAACGACTAACTGCTGTGGTATGTGAACATCGCCACTGGGGAGACAAAGGCGGCCGGGCGTGGTGGATCCAAGTCCCGGGCGAAGCCGGGTAGTACAGCTAGTCTCCATATATATAAACACACAAGCACATATATCAAGTTTACAAGATCGAGTTGCACTTTATGTGCATAGATTAGCTGTTCCAGACACTTAAAAAGTATGTCGATAGCCACGTGTGGTGGTGGTGTTTTAGGCGAGATATGCAGCACCAAGCATACTGTGGAAGCAGTGGTGGAATTCACTGTCCTTTAACATAAGTTGGAACCACCCCTCCAAAATTGCCTTCGGCCTGGTCTCTCCGAGATACATGCGCAACAGAACTGGCCGTGGTGATATGTTGTACAGCGCTCCTGCTTCCTTGATCAAGTTTTCCGCTTCAGGCCACTGTGCATGTGTAGTGGTTCAACTTAGATGCGGTAATTCTTGGAGGAACTTATTTTATTATACTCACAATCTCTCTTCACACACCCTACAGTCGCTTAGACTACACACACCCAAGCCTATACACAACACTAGCCGTCTAACACCGGTGGCGCTGACCGATACAGCCAAAAACTACATAACAGCGCAATATCAGGCGACGATGGCAGCGGCCACTAAGAGAAGAATAGTGATGATGACGACAACGATGAACTTGAGCAGCATGATGATGGACTTGAGCAGCACGACAGGGAATTCACTTACAATCAACAGCCCTGAGCTCTCGCTCAGGGCCCCCTGTTATGCTCCCAGTGTGGCCTTGCTCCGCCCTAGCCACGCCCCTTTCTAAGAAACTACGAGCGGGTTCCTGGGGCTTCCCCTATGTGCCCTTTCTGTGACCTTTCCCCCAGATATCCCCCTCCCGTCTATACTATCGCCTCCTGGTGTAAGTACTGTCATACATCGCAGTTACACTTTTGCGCCAGCAGCTCGCGTTATTTCTCCACACATGTGATATTTGCAGAAGGTTGTGTCGCTCAAACATTGTCTTGTTAGTCACAAGCGAACTAACAGGAAACAAACACAACAACCACATAATATGACGAATGATTAATGATTCCGGATGCAAGAGAGATGATGATTAAGTTTTGCATAGAACATTGCAGGGAAGCCAATTGGATGATGCCCCTCCACTTATGCACCTCACTCAGAAGTAGAATGGGGAGGAAGAGCCGCTAAATTCTCCCCTCCTCCCCCGATTCGAAATTCATGGCGTCCACTATCACCCTCCCCATCCCCATCTTTGGGTTTATGCACACCGGGTAAGCGATTATTTATTTATTTATTCATAATAAAGGTTTTTGGGTTAGATCGCGTTTATTTATAAATGTGTCGTAACCCTCCACCACCAGACACGGCCAATCAGCAAAAAAAAAGTGTCACGTTGACAAAAAGACAAATAATTCACTACTTTAGCCCACCGGTGTGTTGAAGAGTGAATCCACATTTACAGTTTGAGTACGACGTTTCGCTGGTAAATAAATCCAGCATCATCGGGCAATTCGCCAGAATGGTAAAGCCCTCGCTTGCTCCCGGTTTTATATAGAGCAGCAGGGTGACGTCATCACTTAACTCATATCAGGTGCAGTGATTAGAGGCGGAGGGGGGGGGGGTATTGTAATTATATAATCGATTAGTAATCAGTCATTGGTTATGATTAGTAATGAGTTGTAGATTAGTAATTCTTTAAATCAAAATGTAATGTGTATTATTTAATAATACGCTTCCAGGCCGCACTAAGCCTGTAGCTGTCAGAGCGATTTAAGTTATTCTTGTTCCTCTCAATTTCAATGGATTCTCTAATTAGTCTTTGCCAGTAATAATTAGTTTTACACACCACTGCAACATTGTCAAAATCAATTGAGTGTCCTTGTTGACAAGCATGTTCTGCCACTGCCGACAGCTGTGTTTGAGATAATTTAATATTTCTCTGATGTTCTTTTAGTCTTACGCTGATGTTACGTCACGTCTGTCCAATGTAGAAGCTGCCACATAAACAATTAATCCGATATACACCTTCTGTTGATAATTTAGGTAATGCGTCTTTAGGGCAAGATACTAGTTTTTGAATTTTGTGTACTGTACCAAATCTTACTGTAAAAAAATTCAGAACATCTTGTGAATGTGATTAAATATATTAAACTTACTCCTGATGATATTCTGGTAAGTTTTGATGTGATTTCTCTATTCACTAAGGTTCCTGTGGACGAATCGCTTAAATTACTTGATACATTAGTAAAGAATACCGGTTTACCAAAAGATATTCCGAAATTTGCTGGCCATTGTTTAAATAACACTTACTTCTCATGGAGAGGGGATTTCTTTAAACAAAAGGAAGGAGCAGCAATGGGTTCTCCTTTATCCCCTGCTATAGCAAATTTGTACATGAGAAACTTTGAAATAAGAGCACTTGCCTCGAGCACATTAAAACCATCCTTTTGGTTTAGATATGTGGATGACACTTTGGTTGTCAGGCCACATGGTAAAGATACACTTAATGATTTTCTAAATCATCTCAATGCACAAAACCCGGCCACCCAGTTCACCATGGAAATGGAGGTGAATAACAGACTCCCATTCCTAGATATTTTGCTTGGACATGGCCTAAACGGTAAAATAACACAGCGTTTACAGAAAGCAAACGCACATTGATGCCTATCTGAATGCAGAATCACATCATCATCCAGCTCAGAAATCCTCTCTTATCAATACGCTCATACATCGGGCTAAAACAGTGTCAGATGGTGAGAGTCTAGTGAGAGAGATTAAACACGTTAAAGACGCACTACGACAGAATGGCTACAATAATGCTCAAATTAACAGAGCACTGAATGCCAAATCACGATCGCAAAGCAATACTGCTGAAAGCGACCAGATTGTTAAAACAATAAAAATTCCATATATCTCAGGAGTAACTGACAAATTAGCCCGTGTTTGGCAAAAGCAAAACATTACAGTAAGATTTGGTACAGTACACAAAATTCAAAAACTAGTATCTTGCACTAAAGACGCATTACCTAAATTATCAACAGAAGGTGTATATCGGATTAATTGTTTATGTGGCAGCTGCTACATTGGACAGACGGGACGTAACATCAGCGTAAGACTAAAAGAACATCAGAGAAATATTAAATTATCTCAAACACAACTGTCGGCAGTTGCAGAACATGCTTGTCAACAAGGACACTCAATTGATTTTGACAATGTTGCAGTGGTGTGTAAAACTAATTATTACTGGTAAAGACTAATTAGAGAATCCATTGAAATTGAGAGGAACAAGAATAACTTTAATCGCTCTGACAGCTACAGCTTAGTGCGGCCTGGAAGCGTATTATTAAATAATACACATTACATTTTGATTTAAAGAATTACTAATCTACAACTCATTACTAATCATAACCAATGACTGATTACTAATCGATTATATAATTACAATACCCCCCCCCCCTCCGCCTCTAATCACTGCACCTGATATGAGTTAAGTGATGACGTCACCCTGCTGCTCTATATAAAACCGGGAGCAAGCGAGGGCTTTACCATTCTGGCGAATTGCCCGATGATGCTGGATGTATTTACGAGCAAAACGTCGTACTCAAACTGTAAATGTGGATTCACTCTTCAACACACCGGTGGGCTAAAGTAGTGAATTATTTGTCTTTTTGTCAACGTGACACTTTTTTATTGCTGATTGGCCGTGTCGGGTGGTGGAGGGTTACGACACATTTATAAATAAACGCGATCTAACCCAAAAACCTTTATTATGAATAATATTGGTCGCGAAAGCCTACATGTTAAACTTATTTATTCATCATTGTCCCTTATCCCTCCCGGTTTGCTCAGTCATTCGGTAGCATCGGTGATGTGCACGGTTATAAAAATTCCTGGTGCCCGTGATTGGTGTTTGGCACGTAGCTTCTGGTTGCTGGAAAACCAGGTCCTGGATCATAAGTTGATTAAAGAGGAAGTCGGAAAGAAGGTCAGGGAATTAATGTCGATCAATTCAAATATCAGAAACAAGCAACGTGTGCTACATCAAGACTACAAAACCATGCAATCACAAGGTACCATGAAAGAGATCAACATAACTAAACTGGAACGAGAGAAAGTTTAAATGACCAAGACATCCTCCTATATACGAAAGCCAGGATCCCCTTCCATGATCCTTCTTCCTCTACAAAGAACATCCTGGCGAGGCTGGTTCAATCTCGGGGGAACCGGACACAAATCGCCTCTATACGGCTTAACTTTCGATGTTTTTACATTGGGTAGGGGCACCAGCCAAGGCTATCCCCTCTCGCTGCTAATATTCAAAGGGCTATTGAACCCTCTACTGAGAGCATTCTGAAACACCGACAGGTGGTAGGGTGAGAAAATGGAAAGAGGAAAATAAAATCAATCTATACACGGATGACGTCGTCATCACCCTAACAGAACCAGCGTATAAAATAAACGTAACTTAATCAGAGTTGGTGCCCTTATCCCCTGCTACCCCGAAGCCAACTGAAGGGTTTTCACCCTCTCGACCCTTCAGGTGGTGCCCAGTGCCAATTAAGTATCTTTACTACCTCACTGGAGACATGGACGGATATTCACCTTTCCCTTTCCAACAGGGCACACCTACTCAAGATGATGGCATTGCTGATGCTCCTTGACGGGAGGAGGCTAATCGTAGATGGTATTCTGAAATCTTTTTTTAAAACGCTTCATTCACACATACCCTCATTCATATGGAATCACAAAATAGAGCAAATGGACTATCATTCCATTATGTTATTGAGGAGAGAAGGGGGCCTGGCTCTTTCAGATTTCCGAAAATAAGACAAATGAATCGCTTTCAGAACGTTAGACACTGCATCAACTCGAAAAAGAAAGGGACATGGAAAAAGTGTGAAGAAGGCTCGGTGAGCCCCTGGTCATTTGCTGTAGTTACCTATGCCCATATCAAAGATAGATGCCGTGTCCTAAACCATTATGGATGGTTTCTTACACCTTTGGTGAGATGTAACAACAGGCGAATCTCATTCCCCTCCATACGTAGACAATTGCCTTTGTTGGGCAACCAATCACTAACAATAGAATGCACAAGGGCTAACTGGCCTGGCTGGAGAGCGACAGGACTGGAAAGGGTAGGGACCTTCTGAAAAACGATACCTAAATGAGGGATAACATCTCCAAAGCTATAAACACAAACTTTGACCACAGCACTCACCCCATCTTAGATGGTCTGGTGGACAAAAATGAAAGTAAAAGTTTCCGCATGTATACCACCTTACTGTTGGAGATAGAGACCAGGTTAGAGCCAAAACTAGAAAGTTGAGAGGGAAAGGCTGCTGGGAAAGGACATCCCTCACCAGGTAAGGACTCAAATATAGTTGGAGAAGGACAACAGGCCCCAGGCCCCTTCCGCTAACAATAATTTAGTTCAAAGTCAGGCATGGGTCCTACCTGACCAATGACAGGAGAGCCACATTAATCAATTCCTCTTTTAATTGCCCTAGATGCCCGCAAGGCATGGTACAGATGTAACAAAATGCCTTCTGGACATGCCCAGATATTGTAGAATTCTTCGAGGATATAAAGGATTATTTTAATTGGATCTGGGGCACAGAGCCGATCTTCTTAGTGGACTCAACTCTGCGGGGCTTGAATCCAAGAGGGCTATCGGGATACCAACATGCCTTCCTCCAAACCTTCTATAATGTAGAAAGAAAGACCATATGGGTGAATTGGAAAATCATGAACCCCCTCTTGGGGTCTGTGGTACAGCATTCCCCTTGCTTTGGCGGGAATGGAACACCTTAGCCAGGAGATGAAAGGAAATAATTGGTATATGAGGCTATGTGGTCCCCATTTTTACTGAACCCTGCGTGAATAACCAGAATAGTGGATGGGGCGCGGGGAAGAACTCTTGACGCTTAAACTTTGTAGTAGGCACCGTTGCTCCTGGGGGAAAACAAGGATAACCCCAGACATTGCGCTTATGTTACTTTGTTTCCTGTCTAGTTTGGTTAAATTATTCTCCTTCCTCCCCCTCTTCCTTATTCTTCCCTTCCCAGTTAATATGCTGCTCCCGATCGTTGCCTCTACTTGTGGTAGAGCAGCGAGCCCAAGGGCCTTCAGACGGGCCCCCATTTGAGGGTTTATTGTACCGGGTTCGACACACGTTCGTAATTTGTATCTCCCTCTGTGATGTCTGTGTTCTGGGCTCTTTATCACAAAAATAAATCATGTATTGGATAAATAAATTGTGGACGATTGACCAAAGACATCAAGAGTCGTATTTTTCTTCTTCATGTGATGCAGTGTGGATAGCAAAGAGAGACAGGAATTATTGTGCAATCCAAAGGTTGAACACGAAATTTAACACTTTTCTGAAATTCGTGATCCGCCAGGAAGTGTCTGTGTTGTTGGCCTGACTGGATGTGCTTCACATGTTTTTTCAGGTTTGTTGAATTCTCGTCTCTCATCTTTTTGTTGTATTTACCTCCGTGATTTGTTCTTGACACCTGAGGAAGATCGCTTGCGTTGTGGTCGAAACGTCGTGATTGTTTTTGTTTCAATATAATTTTATTGGATTTCCACATACGTGACTTTACCGAAAAAAACAATGAGTAGAGATAGAGAGACAGGAAGAGAGCAAAAAGAGAGAGGAAGCACGAGATTTGTGCAATCGACGTCACGTTTAGACAAACGCGATCAGTGGATGTGTCAGTATAGTTTTATTGAACATTCAAACCAACGTTGTATAATTGTAACTTAAATTCACATCTTTATATTCAGGCGTTGCTTTCTGCTGATGCCCGTTGTTTTTTCATTGATTTTGAGGCAGTGCTTTACAGACCGGATTTGTAATGAAAAGAAAACAAACATCCGAAATCAGCATCTTGTTTGCCAACATCACACCAGGCAGGCACGGTCTCAAGGGGTGCCAGCTCAGAGGCACTTACCTGCGAGTCACCTGTCCACCACACACACCACACCACCTGAATTGTTAATAACGAGACCGGTCAGGAGTAACCCACACACTCACCTTTAGGTTCTCTTCCCAGAGCATGATCTTCTATCCCCAGAACACTGTCATTTATACTACTGTTGCATGGGCCACGTGACCCAGCCAGAAATTATAGATCGCTTCGCGTCACTCACGTCAGATTAGTTTATGTAAATATATTTAAGCATATTACTCATACATTATTAATATTGAATCTATCATACATATACATTTTTCAAACGTGAACCTCTCTTTTTTATGATGACGAGGTGTAGTGAATCAGTGAGTGCTGTATTATGTATCAAACAAGGTTCTTCCAACGTTATGGAACAACCTTGTTTCCTCGCCAAACATCGTTCACCTTCCCTTAAAAATATTCTGAAGCAGAAGGTTAGTAGTGCCAGATGCATCAGCCACATTTGGAAATGTGTTTTGTAACATTGATCCTTACTCACCGTGTAGCATTATTTTAATGTCAAACTAAAATGTAATTGAGGTACGTTATTATCTTGGTGTGGTCTGGAACTGTTGTTGTACATATCCGGTAATGGTCTGGGACTGTTATTGTTGTTGTCTTGGTGTGGGATTGTTGGTGTTGTCTTGGAGTGGTTTGGGACTGGTGTTCTCTTGTTTGGGACTGTTGTTATTCTTGTCATGGTGTAGTCCGGGACTCTTGCTGTTGTTGTTGTTTTGCCCCAGGCTTGCATTTGGTGTAAAATAAATTGGCAGGAATGTATGTTCTTGCGCAATTTGTACATCTATACAGGCGTATCTCACTTAATGAGCATTCTATCTCTGATAATTCGCAATAACGAGCGATTTTAATCGAGATTAATTTATTCCAACACGAGCAACACTCTCACTGAAATACTTTTAGTTGCAAAGATGATAATCTTAAGCAGCGCTGAACAATGTTTAGCCGAAACATAACCCTCGTGTTCCTCAAAAGAGAGCTCATTATTTAACGCATGTTGGGCTGAAAAACGAGTTCTATAAATCCTCGTTGGGAAGGATTTCCTATATTTGTATTCCCTTGGTGTACCCAGAATATCCATACTGACTCTCAAAATACATTTTAAAAAGGGCCTCTCTAAGTTTCACAGTAGGGAGCAATGTAGCTGCTCTGTGTGATCCCATTTGAGTAATTTGCAGATACGTTTTCAACATTTGAATGTTCGGCCAAACCAGTAACATTAAAAAAAGAATTGGGAAAGAAGAAAAGCGGAGAACTCACAGGAAACCCATCCAACAGCGGAGGGGAACACACAAACCCCCCGCAGAAAGGCACCAGAGTCAGAAACCGAACACAGAACGACTCAGCTGTGAGGCACAGTGGTAACACCTTATGCCTCACAGCTGAGTCGTTCTGTGTTCAGTCGTAACACTTGTGCCACCCCGCCTGTCTAATTGAATACACGAATTGAATCGAATTGGGAAGAAAAAAAGCCCCCGTGCAATGAATTGGAATTATGACTAAAGTTTACCATCAGAATGCCTAAGAATTATGTAGTACATTTAGTAAAACATATAACCCATAACTGGTTAATTACATAATTCTGCTATACCAGTCGTTCCCAACCAGTGTGTTTGATGTGTACACCTCCCAGCCCTATCACCTGTCCCCATTCCATGACCAACACATAATCTACTGCGAATAATCCCTAACTTTACTTTACAATTCCTGTTCGTACCCCTTCTGGAGATGGTACACCAGACAGCCACTAACAGAAGATTAATACAGTAATTTCTCCGAACGTTTAGGCTCCCCTGTCCCAGAGGGTCAGTCCACTTTATACCCAATAACTCGTTTGGTTGGATCGACTAGTTTCTACTTCTAAAAAAACGTTAAAATAAACAGACCATAAAATCGAGACGTGACAAATAAAAAAAACTAAAATTGTGTATCAAGCCATATGACACAGTACAAATAAGGAAGATATGCACGTGCAAGATACACGATATATAAAATTAGTTAATGCAAATGAGACAAACAGCAGAGACAGAACATACGAGTCAGGGCATTTTAGATGAGTTATTACGAATTGGATATTAGATGGGCAAAGGGAATAGGTTGGACATGTTAAACAGTAACAATTGACAGCGAATTAAAAAAAAAGAATAATCATGAGCATCCCCACGCTGAGAAACCTGCAAAGAAAGCAATCTTGCGAGCAAGCTGTTACGAGTCGCAAAAACATGTTGTGTTAAGCAGACGTGTTGCGTAAGAAGTACCGATATAGTTGTCTCTTCTCTTCCATCAGCTGTCAAAAGGTGGTTGACGACGAGGCTGAATGAAATAGTTCCTTGATTTTCGGTCACTGGACACGACATTCGCTATGCCGTGAGGTATGGTGAATTGAATATTGGCTTGGCAACATTGATCTGTAATATTTAACTAATAAATAATACGTAAATAACCTTTGATTTAAAGCTTTCGTGACTGCAGTAATTCATATCCTTAGCTCTTTCGGTAAAGTCACGTTGAAGGGAAACAAAAATAAAATATATATAAAACAATAAAAATTTTAACGTTTCGACCATAACACAAACGGTCGTCATCAGGTGTGTCGGTTTGCATTAATTTATTTTTAAACGGTGTATTTATTTATTTAAAAAACGTCAGCACCACGTGCAGCGATTTGGCAGTTTATTTAGAAGGACTGGTCCATCTATGTTCTGAAAAGAAGAGGAGGGAGACGAAAAATTAATGTATGCGGTCTGAAAGCCACTGTAAGCGTGACCAATCAATTAAGACCTGAAATGGTTAATCAAATCTTTCCAATGATTGCTAAGCCAGAATCCATCTTCTCGGTTGAAATTGTCTCTGTGCTTTTATATGTGGATAGCCGCATGACGAATCTCTCATGGTAGCCAGATGGCTTACAAAGAACCTCTGTCTTGGAAAAGTCAATGTCATGTGAGCCTACTGAATTATAACAATGATCTACCACGGCCGAGGTGTTGGTGCTACCTTGTTTAAGGTCTGCTTTGTGTTCACGAATGCGGTCCGAGACATGGCGTTTGGTTTCTCCAATGTAACTACTACCACAGAGGCAACTTAGTTTGTAGACACCAGGGTACTGTATGTCCGGAATCACATCTTTTACAGACGGAACCAGATCACGGATTTTATGTAATGTGTTGAAACGGACCTGGATATTGTGTTTATTCAAGATTTTGGAGATCTTTTTTGTGATCCCGCAATGTAGGGTAAAGTGATGGTTTTGAAAGGCTCAAGAGGGTCCTTCTTCATGGTTTGAGTGACACCAACATCACGTTTCACAAACGAAAATAATAAATAGATGTAATAAAAAGATTAAATAACAAATTAAAACAGCAACAATTCACCTTGTAAGGAAACTTACCAAAACATCTGCTGCATGTTGGAATGACTGGAAAGGTGGATGCGGAGGCGTTATTGTTGTTACATGCGCCCTCATGCCCCATTCTGTCTGTACGGGGTGCACGTTCATCCGTCATGCACTGTGCCGACTTCGGCTTAGCTTTCGAGATTTTTCGAGATTGGGAGGATTCTGAATTATTTGTTCACAGGCAATCAGAGGGAAGGGGTACAATTAGTGAGAGAACAATCTGAGGCCCCTGCATTTTCTTTACATCTCCCGTAGTTCTAAATAGAGCCACATACATAACTAAACTATGAAGTTATACAGGATACAAACATGAATCACAGCCCAGGGTAACTTTGCAAGTGTGGTCCAGATCAGTCAGTCACTCTACGCCTTGGCCAAGGTGATCTACAAATTATGACAAGATACAATTTAGCAGGGCCTCCAATGTACAAGTTTACAATCTGATGTTCAAAAACTCCACTTTGTGCCTATTTAACGTGAGCACGAAGCATGCCAATATAAGAGACAGGTAGAGCTTACATCGTAATGTCCATACCGAGACTGTGGTATAATTTTACGTCATTGACCACAGCTGTCTGTGCCATCACGCACACACATCAGACTGTCAGTGTGGAATGAATGCAATGCAGGAAGTTACAATTCCAATGACGGCATCATGATGTTTCTTTTCAGGCATGAAAACGAAAACATTCTGTGCTCTCCCCACAATCACGGAAACACTTGCTGAGATACCCGCTGAGATACTCGCTGTGATAAGCACTGAGTGACTCAGACAGGAGCAGAGCCATGTCCACCCCAGCTGCTGCTACATCTGAGGAACTCATCTGCTCCATCTGCCTGGGTGCGTTCCACTGCCCTTCCACGCTGAGCTGCGGCCACTCGTTCTGCCTCGGAGCCTGGAGGACGCTTGGCAGGTGGCCGGGCGCTGCTTCTGTCCCCAATGCCGAGCCAAGTTCGAGCAGAAGCCGCAGCTGAGCAGGAACGTGGCGCTCGCCAACCTCATCGAGGAGCTCAGCGTGGGGGAGAAAGCAGCTCCACAGGTTTCCTGTAACTGCTGTCTGGATGGTGAAGTCCCCACTGTGAGAAGCTGCGTTACATGCAAGGCGTTCATCGGTGAGTCCCATTGTAAGCGTCACCTGCAGAATGCGAGGTTCAAGGAACATGAACTGGTGGAGATGGGTGTCAGCACGGAAGATCGCATGTGCAAGAAGCACAAGAAGCGTCTCGCGTTCTACTGCACGCAGGACTAGAGCCTGGTCTGCACGAGCTGCGCCATCGTGGGGAAGCACACAGGACACAAGTTCAGCAGCGTGGAGGAAGAGCACGAGGCACGGAAAGTGAGTGAAATCGCTCAGAGACCGGAGCACAGAGATGGGGTCGCGACAGCACTCACCACTGCAACACTTAGACGAACTTACAGATAATTTAAAGTGCAAATTGGAAAAACCATAGCCATGCTAATTACGTTTAAATGAATTAAGGCATAAATATTAGCTTCACCTTATAATGTCTGTGCATTGTACGTAACGGTGGTCAAAATTAGTTGACCTGTTTGTTCCCGTCATTCGCATCACCCACAGCTAGTGTTGTAAATATGTGGTAGAATCCACATACTCTTTGGTTCTATTCGGTAAAGTCACGTAGGTAAAAATAAAATAACAAAAATCACAACACAAGTGGCCTTCATCAGGTGAAGGGACCGGACTGTCCAGAGGACAGCGCTGGTGTGAAGAAAGCCAAGCCCAGGTCGCGTCCTTTACGCTGTGTGGGAGGAAACAAAAAACGCCTTGACAAAGGAATTAGCATAAAATGATGTACTGGACCGGCACGGTGGGGGGGGAGTTTACATAATGTTGGTGTGAAGGGAAATAAGCTGATGTGAAAGTTTGGGATACCACTACTTGCAAAAATATACTGTACCATTGAAAATTAGTTTAATGTTTGGTTTGATTTAGAACATCTTTCCAATGATTGCATAATTTGAAACCATCCTCTCGGTTGAAATTGTGTCTGTGTTTGTAAATCTGAATTGCCTCGTGGACAAATCTCTGATAAAAACCCGTGGGTTTGCAGAGAACCTTGGTATCGGAGAAAACTATATCGTGATCACCCACAGCGTTGTAACAGTGATCAGCTACGGCAGAAGAATTCGTTCTGCCGTGTTTCAAATCTGATTTGTGCTCGCGAATTCGGTCAGAGACATGTCGTTTCGTCTCCCCGATATAGCAGTCACCACAGGTGCAGCTCAATTTGTAAACCCCGGGGTACTGTAAGTCAGGAATGACATCCTTCACGGATGGGATCAGGTCACGGATGTTGTGTACTGTATTGAACCGGACCAGGATCTTGTGTTTGTTTAGAATTTTGGAGATATTTTTAGTAACGCCTGCTATATATGGTAGTATGATGGTTTTGACCGGAGTATAAAGTGGTTGTTTCTGTATGGAGTGAGAAACAGCTTGGCGGATGGTACGGTCAGAGTATCCGTTTCTCTTGAGAGCCAGGTGTACATGTTTTAATTCACTGGTCAGGTGGTGTTGGTCCAAAATGCAATGTGCCCTGTGGTATAACGTTTTAATTAGATAATTATTTTGAGCTGGGTGTTGGTGGGAATCAGGTTTCAAGTAGGAATCTGTGTGGGTGGGTTTCCTGTAGACAGAATGCCCCAGTGAGCCATCAGGTCTCCTCTCAAACAGAACATCCAAGAATGGTAGCTTGCCATCTTTCTCCACTTCCATGGTGAATTTGATGGCGTGATGTCTAGAATTTATGTGGTGTAGGTAAAGGTTCAAAGCTGGGAGGCCATGTGACCAAATGACGAAAGTATCATCCACATATCTCTTCCACAGGGAAGGTCTGAGGGTGAAAGTCTGGATGGCGTCTGATTCAAATTTCTCCATGAAAACATTGGCTATCACAGGTGATAAGGGAGATCCCATGGGGGAACCCTCATTTTGTTTGTAGAAGGTGCCATTCCAAGTGAAGTAGGTATTGGTGAAGCAGTGTCTAATCAGCGCAGGTGTATCGGGGTCTAGTCCATGTTGTACCAAATTTTCAATTATTTCAATGGTATCAGGTACCGGGACCTTGGTGAACAGGGAGACCACATTGAAGCTGACAAGGATATCGTCAGGGGATAGTACAACGTCTTTGACCATAGAGACCAAATGAGCTGAGTTAAGTACTGCAGAGGAGGTCTTGCGAGTGAAAGGTAGCAAGGTATCTGACAGAAAACGTGCTAGCTTATAGGTAGGGGAGTTGATCGTGGATACGATGGGTCGTAGTGGAGTGCCTTCTTTATGAATCTTGGGGAGACCATATAATCTAGGGGTCTTGCAGCAGAAGGTTTTAAGGAGGGACGTTTAGTTGGTTCGATTAGGGAGGTCGAACATGTGATGATCTTAAATTTTGATTTTAAGCTTTCGTGACTGCAGTAATTCATTTCCTTAGTTCTTTCGGTAAAGTCACGTTGAAGGGAAACAACAAAATAATAAAATATATATGTAAAACAATAAAAACAATTCTCACGTTTCGACCATAACACAAACGGTCGTCTTCAGGTGTGTTATGGTCGAAACGTCGTGATAATTTTTTATTGTTTTATATATATTTTATTATTTTGTTGTTTCCCTTCAACGTGACTTTACCGAAAGAACTAAGAATATATAATGTGATGATCTTGTTGGTTTTTATAGTTAGGCTATTAGTAGGGTCATTTTTTATTTTTGAGTAACTTCCATCGTTGAGTAGGTTCTGGATTTTGTTGTACGAACCATAATTACAGTAGCGTTGCCTTTGTCGGCTGAGAGGATGACTATATCACTTCTGTTTTTTTTAAATTCGCGAGTTCAGAGCGTTCATTTTTGCTGATGTTGCTAATGGGTTTCTTAGCATTCTTAAGAAGTGGCTATTTCAGCTCTCGCAACGTCTGCTTGGATGTGTCCTATGCCTTTAAGGGCCACATCGACCTGAGAGATGATATCATCTACAAGAATATGTTTCGGGGTAACAGCAAAATTTAGCCCTCTAGCCAGTACTGTTTTCAGATTGTCCGAAATCGGGGTGCTACTCTGATTAATGACGATTTTGTTAACG